ACTCCTAAATTAAAGCAGGGCTAATTTTATTTTTGCTCAGAATACAAGACGTCTGAAATCAATAGAAATGTTACAGTTTCCTACAGAGGAATGCATTTCTCTTTATGGCCCTGAATCAGCACTTCTGGGGAGCTAGATGGAAACCACACTCATTTTATAATGGTATGCTGAGAGCATCATCATAAAGATTTTACACATTCTGTGACACATTTTATCCATCAAAATCTAAATCAGTCAAGGTTTTGTAGTTCTGTCCCAGAGACTACATTTTGAATTGTTGGCTGTTCACAGCTACTGATTGTAGTGGAAACATATTAAGTATCATAATGTCTTCATCAATCAAATGTCATCAATTGGCACTTCCAAAGCACCATTATGCTTATGGTGGCTCATTTGACCAATTCAATACCTGTCTGGTGCAGACAGGAGATGGGAGAACTCCTGTGCCCTCCTTATTCAAGGAACAAATTTAATATCCAGAGGAGGGTAGGGCAAATATGAGTGTCCTTTGAACAATCAGCAAGGGACAGGGGCCAGCAAAACAGCACTAAGTTCCTATCAGTTCTGCATTCTAAGGAAAAGTCAAGTAGAAGTGAGAGAAAACAGAAAATTAAAAATATATAGAATGAGGCAGCAATGGCAAGAAATTACATCACTTGCATTTTGATTGGAAAAATGTTGCAGGAAGTTTGCAAGATGTTTGGTGTGTCCTTATGCTACCTATTTTACAGTTTTACTGGTAAAAAATACACAGTTATACTGGTAAAAAGGGGATGCCAATGAGGCTTTTACAAAGGTAGCAATTTTATCTGGAATTGTATTAGAAATATTGTTCACATTTCTTCTAGTTTGAACAACATGCAATTTTTTTTTAAACTTTTTTTTCCCCATTTCCTCAGCAGAATAGGATCTCAAAGAGGCACAGGAAAGGTACATTTGACCCTGGACTCTGGGCTGACACAGAGGAGAATTTTATCTGAAATCTTCTTATGATTTCTTTTTTTACTGTCTCCAAACTGTCTAAGCATAGTGAATTGAAGTTGTATGCTTTTGGAAATGAGATCTTAAAAAACTATTAGTTCTGAGGAGCTGTGAAGCCAAAATGAATATAATAAACATTAAAGGAATAAATTTTGTCTTTAAATTTACCTGAGACATGGAAAGAGAAAGAAAAACATAATTAACATATTTTCTGGTATTAGCCAACCCCAAGATGACACCTTCTTAAAACACAGTGAATATCAGCACCCTTATACATTCTCACATCAACCTACCTTGAATTAGTATTTATAGACTAGAATATTTTCTTACATATCTCTTTATATAAACAAAATAGAATGTTTTACTTACATTTTATTTATTCAATAAAATAGTCTGCTTTGTTTATATAAATAACCAAATGCCTCAAAATGTTTTGGGATTTTTTTCAGGCTCATTGTATATCAGAGTGGACAGTATTGAGTAACTGGAAACTCCAGTGGGATTTGATTTTGCAAATTATTTTTTCTGGCTTGGCCAGTTCTTCAAAGACTAACACCCAACATGAAGCACTTAAGCCCAATGAGAAGGGATGGGTTTTGGTCAGTCACCTTGGCCAGCTGAAAGCTTTATGCATCAGAGAAGCCTTGTTGGGAGGTTTCACTTGCTACGCAGGGATATTTTGCTGAAATGCATTTCACCAGTTCTGTAGCAAAGTATTAAGTGGAAGTAGTGAAAGTATGAAAATGGAAATGCCAATTTTCGTGTGAGAAGCAAAACAGAGAATCTGACTTCTGAATGAGAAATTTCTGGGCACCCAAACCCCTTTTTTTCTGATGGTGGATGATATAATTCTAATATTGCAACCAGCTGCCTGTTGAGAGAAGAGGATTTATGCATGCATAAATTTCCTCTCCTGATGAGATGAAGATCCCTTATTGACTATATCCTCTGGCTTTTGCTTTCAGACTGGTTTGGTTTCAATTGTGGGAAAGTGATGCCAGTGAATAGTTTATGTATTTGGCTATAAAGCCCTGAAGTGGTCCCCACGGTGGGGATAGGGAACCAAGGGAAGAGACATTTTTTCCACTAGCCAAATTGTACTGGAAATGAGAGCTCTGAAAAATTAGCTACATGTAACACAATATGAGTTCAGAAAGGAGCACAAGTTGGGGTTCTGCTTTCACAAGTTCCCCTTTCACACCCAACATTCCAGGAGTAGGTGCATTAGAAAGGGAACAGTGTCTATAAGGAAAAGTGAAGGTGAAGAAAAGCTTATTTTTCCAATACCACAGTTGCTGCAGTAATGGCCAACTTTCTCAGCTATCATTCCCCTCAGGACAGCTGTATAAATCAAAATGCAGTAGCTATACACACATATTCTTACCTAGCGATAATGTGTTGCCTGATGCCATCTCATGTAAATGGCCGTTACACATCCAAATGCAGTAATGCAGCTGCATTGCCAGACGTTGAGAACCTCCAAAAAAACTTTTAAATTCATAAAATACACTCGCATGCTCCTTAATTGCTACAGCAGAGAGCATTCCACTGTCCAAACACTGTGGAAAGACGATCCCTGTGCAGCCATTGTGGAAATAAGATCCTGTCATAAAGAATATCCATCCTTAAAGCTGATTTTTTTCTTGGAAGTACGATTTTTTGGAATACTTTGATGATGTGCGTGAGCCTACAGCCACACAGGTATGTATGTAAACTCTTCTCAGAAAAATACTTTTATCATCTAAAGGAATAAAATGCTTGAGGCAGAAGACAGGAATCTCTGGGAAGTACACTACTGTGATGAATACATTTGTCAACTGAGTGCCACAGTGATGAATTTCAGGAAAGATGAAAAGGTTTTTCATGACAGCAAGAAATTTGTAACTCAAAGAAGAGAAAATGAAGCAAACAGTTTGCATTTATCTTTGCATCTTAATAGACAACTTTATTCCTGTTTTCAGGATGTTGTCTTCATTCTCATGCTAAAGGATTTCCATTTGTATAAAATATTAAAACAAAATGGAGTCGTACAGGTACAGGTTAGTACTGCGTCAGTGGCAGCAGTCAGAGAACCTAATCTATGGATATTTTAGTCTGAGATTTTTCATTAGTACAGATTTTGGAGCTGCTTTGGACCTGACACTTGACATGCACAGAGAAAATGCATTAAAATACCTCCAACTTTATTATTAATTAGGGCTTGATAACTTGCTCCTCCTGCCCTCCCCTAGAACATATGCCACAAAAAATGAAATCAGAAAGGTGTTTCAGCTCTTTCATAGCTGGATCTGCCACTACAGTGCTGGAATCAGTGGGGTTGGTTTTTTTGTTTTTCTTTAGTAGGCGCAAAGATTGAGCCCTGAGCTCCAGCAAGCTGCATATGTTGTGTTTTCTGCTCAGAATCTGTACTGGTGATCTGCTCTCCCTCCTTACCTGATACCCTGATACAGCCTGAGTTTCTTAACTTGTAGGGCATGCTGAATAACCTGTATTTTCATTTTCTAAATAGGAAAGTATGATACTTTTATTGGAAACGTGGAGAGAATAACCTCCACAGCAGCCAGCACTAGGATGAAGGTAATTAAAGCTCTTTTACTGAAGACATTAACACCAAATATTCCCTAAAGTACTGACTGTAGAGTACTACATTGCCATGAGGTGAATTTGCTAAATTTGAATTTACATACACTGAAATAGCATAATTTAACAGAAATACTGGAAAAGTCCCATGTAACATATTTGGCAATGGTTCTGTACAGGGAACTGGTCTGTGCAACACAGTGTTGATTTAGGGAAAGACTTTCCATTTGCCCACATGCCCATTGGTAAGTCAACTGGAATGTGAGCATGTATTGAAAGTGCTGCACACACTGTGTAGTTATGTTTCTAAACTGCAAGTTTTCCAATGCTATAACATAATATGAAAATTATTTATTATGTTTCTGAGAATTATGTCCTGCAGTCATACTGTGGAACTGTGTTACCATCACAGTTGGTTTCAAGTTGTTGCCCTCCAAAATAAGAAGTGAGGATGAGAATCACTGTTAGACCTGCCATGGATCCAAGGATAAGTGGCATTCTCCCTGCACTATAGCTCAGACACACCCACCCACACATAACTGTGTTAGACCCATATAAATATCTCTATTTCCTTACTGCTGTCATTTAGAGCAGACATTTGGCTGAATGTGGAAGATTTCTTTTTATTGCTGTTATTACTATTTGCATTACTATTCCATCTAAGATTTCCTGCCGTTCATTTCTTTCACAAGTTTCTGTAAGCATCAAAACAACAACACCCTTTCAGCTGCAGAGACAGCGCTTTGGTAGCAAAGACGCAGTTTCTGTGGCAGAGCTCCTGCCCTGCCAGGTGGGGCAGGTGGCGGTGGCAGGATGTGGGACGAGGCGGAGCAGTGGCAGTGTCACCTCCCGGTAACCGGAGCCGTGCCTGGGCTGCTTTGCAGTGGAATCCCTGCCACGGGCAGTGTCAGGACCCAGAACATCCCTCTGGCTGTCCTGAGCAGCCAAGACCCCTGCCAGGGGGCTCAGAGGCCCTGGCTCAGAGCCCAAAACACCTGTGGTTTTGATTATGACCCGTGGAGCAAGTTACCAACCTTAGCTGAAGATCAGCAAGCTGCAACAGTTTAGGTAGAATAATAGTGAAGTTATCACGGGTGGAAAAGTAGATTTTGGAGTTTTTTTGTATGGGGGTTCAGGAGGCAAGATGGAGGGGACTGGGCATGTCCAGCCTTTCTCCTTCTTCTTCTTGGCCTCCATCTTCTGCTGTGATGTTGGCACTTACAGATGGGTTTAGAGTAGAAGCTCACTGTCTAACATAGGTGATAGGTATTGGAAAGTAATTGTAAACATTGCATACATTGCATACATAATTTTTAGTATAAAGACATAACACCACCCCAGGGGCAGGCAGAATGCCTCGAACTGTCTTGCTGAGCTGACGTCGGCAGGACAGGAGAAAGAATTTTATAGATAAGGTACAATAAACAACCTTGAGACCGAGAAATGAAGAGCTCTGACTCCTTCTTCAAGCGCCGGGCTGGGAAAGGAGACTCTCAAACTCTTCTCGGGATCACTCTGACAAGCTCGAGATCCTGACATGGCAAAGCAGCAGCAGCGCCCCGTGGGGCAGAGGAGCCTTCTGGGGGTCCCTCCTGCTGGGGGTTTGTGTGGAAGGAGCTGTTGCTGTGGCAGTGCCCAGCCAAAGGTCAGAGCTGCTGAGCACCAGGGGGTTTCAGGGGCCTGAGACAGTTTTGTTGGGGGCAAACCGGTAAAGTCAAGGTGAGTGAATCTGGCTATACTTCTAGCTTCCAGAAAACAGTATGTCCATCACAGCATCATAGGACAGAAAGAGTCCTGATTCCACAGATCTCTGGCAACTTTTTGGAGAGGAAAGGAAGCCAGGTTGCTGCAGCCTGCATTGTACCTTCCCCAGCCACCCAGAACTGGCAGTGCCAGCCTTGCACTGCATCTGGTGACAGCAATGGATCGGCTCCACTGCATGATTGGTGTTAGACATTATTAATAGTTTCACTTGTGGAGACTGGCCAGAATTGTGCTTCTCTTTGTGCCAAACAAATACAAATAGAATGTAGCTCAAAAGTCCTTCTAGTGTCTGATACCTTTGCTTCTCCCCTTTGAAAAGACCCAGCACAACAAACTCCTTCACCTCCCATCTGGTACAGACATTTACACCTTTGGGGCTGAGGTGTCTGCCCCAGTGCCCTCCCAGCATGGGAACCCAGCAATTCCCTCTGCACTCATGTGGCCAGATCCTGCATGAAACAGGCTGTGACTGCTTAGCCCATTGTTCACAGGTACATATAATGACTCACAATGCAAAACAGAAGTACTGTGCAAGGCAAAGTGGTTTTGGCTGGGAATCATGTATTCATCCACCTGAAATCAGTGTTTGTTTTCTTTTAGCAGGCTTCTGGACAGGCCTGCATGGGGCCAAGCAGTGTCAGGACACGCTGGAGGGGAGGGGAGAAGAAAGTTGACACTTAAATGATGGTAGTAAAAACTGCATATCTCAATGTAAGATATAGATCTGTGTGTCTGTATTGGCAGGTCTGTATGTGCTGAGCTGCAGATTTTCACCCAGTGTAATAATTCTTGTGATTTCTCACAGACCATCCATGCTGAGCTGGAACAGTCTCCTGATAGTCAATTTTCCAACTCTGTCAAAACACCTCAACTGCATAATAAATAATGCATATGGGCATTCTCTGATCACCCATAAACCCAAGAGAAGATGTACATAATCTAAAACTCCTACTGGTTCATGGGAGGTTTTGATCTTCAGAGGATTTGTCAAATCAAGTCAGCAGAGTGCAAGGGAAAAGTATTTCCTGATGACAACTTACTGGGCAGGCTCTGGAGCAGGAGGTGACCCAAAATGGGGTGTGAGGCACACCAGCAGGTCAGTGGCCCAGGAGCTCACCCACCAGCACTGGGTGCCTGCAGGTGCCTGCAGCTCAGGGATATCACTGCTCATCTGGAACTGGCAGCAAGGAATCATGGCCAGCCCCAGGCAGCACATGCCCACCACAGCAGCCTGGTGAGTTTTGATTAAGTTATCAGGGTAAGATTCAGTTTTCTGATACATAAGTGTCAGATATGCTGGGTAGATAAAGAGCCACCAAGAACAAAGCTGGTTGTATTTTCTGAGCAGCATGTAAATCTTGGTTTGTGGTTGTATCAATCTAGTCCCTCTGAAAAGTCTAAGAAGATGTGCATTCAGTATCTCATGTGCCCTAAAGGTTAGAATGCAGCAAGAATTAAAAGAAATACTACCTTTCTTATTTTTAAAGACCTTATGAGTTCTGCCAGCCCAGCTCAGGATTTCTGAATGCTTGGGGCTGGCACTACCATCATTTCCATTATCACACGATCCCCTTTCCAGCTCCCCTGAATCAGCTTGGTGCTCTTCCATATCAGGAAAAAACCAGGGTGGATAAAGTGAGCTAATAGCCCCTCACTCTTTCCTGTTCCTCAGAAGAGGAGTTTTGCAGTGAGGCTGTGGTTTCACAGGAGCTGTTGCAAGCAGCTGGGGATGTGAGCATCCCTGGATGCACTGCCAAGAACCTGCTTCTGCCACCTGGACAGGCAGGCTGAAAAATAACTTTTTTCTATTTTTTTTTTCCTGAATGATCTTTAGCTAAGACCTGTCCACTGAGCCAGCTCATTGCACAGTCACAGAAATGATCCTTCTAAGCATGGTCAAGGACAGCACAGGGCTGGGAGAGGGGTGGGAGTCATGGGACTGCTTCCACTGGCTGCTGCCAAGTGCATGTGTGAAAGCACATCCTGCTAGCAAGGCTGGGATGGCTCTGGGCATTCACAGCTTCACCTAGGGCCCTTTGTCCCTTGTTAAATGTGATTTCTAATGACTATCATAGATAGAAACTGCAATTTTTTTCCTGCTGAACCATGTAAAGAAGCTGTGGGATGGGTGGTGATGGTTCCCATCAAAACAGACACTTCTGTGCAGGACACAACAGATTTTCTTCGACATGTACAAGAAAGTGATATTAATCACCTCATCAATTCCATATGTATCTGGTTCCTCATTTGTGATCCACAGCTATCCTGTTTCTGTTCAACTCATTGATTGAAAATACCAGGGTTAAGAAAACTCTGGAGAGCAAACAGGGAAATCCTCACTGTCCCTTTTGTAATGTAAACCTAGATTTTCTTTCCTTTCTTCTAAAAGGAAAAAAAAAAGTAAAAATAAATGTAAATACAAATATCAGTTTAATTTAAAAATAACAGAACTAATATCTTTGTATTCACAGTGACATATTTAGTGCTGTTTTTAAATACCCTTATTAAAGCTAATCATCCTTCCCAAAATATATTTGCATTTAGCAGTGTTTTACAGCACCCCACAGCTTACTCTCTATGATATATCAAAAGATATATGTAATGCTTTCTTTGCTGTCTCCCACAGCAGTCTAAGGAAGAAAATGGAGAAAACAATTTTCTTCTCCATGTCCCAAAGACAGTTTAAGCGCACCTGTGGTCTTTTTTGTGATTATATTTACACTCAGTGTTCTAATCCCCTTTGGGTTAAGAAAAAAACACAAACCCATTAATTTGAAAATATTTAAATCATTTAATTGCATGGTCAAGATATGAGAAGGGGTAAATTAACTTGGGATGGTAAGAAACACAGGACTATCAAAAAGACTACTGGCTCTCCATTACTAACAGATCTCTCTTCATTTGTAGCACATGACAAATCTAGATGGGATCCTGCAGCCACTAAGCCCTGGGACTTAAGGACAGATCCCTGAAATTCTTGGGTAATTGAATGGCAGGGACTGGGCAGAATGCTGTCACAGGACCCTCCAGAATGAGAACCTGGGTCCTACCTGTGAAAGCAGAAGTCAGCACTGGATTATCTTCTGTCCTTGTAAACTCTTCAGTAGGTTTTCAGTGTCCCTGCCTGGGCAGGGGAGCTGGCAGCCATCAGGTCTCACAGGATGTGCACAGCTGCAGGTACACATCCTGTAACATGAGCAGAAACATAATTTTTCATCATTTTACTATTCCTTACTTCATAATACATGTATTTTTATGACGGTAAATCTGCATAGCCCATATATAAGAATATATAACATATATATTAAACATATATATAGGTTAAAATGTGTTATATTTATCTAATAACTGAAATGGCTTCTAAAAAAATAGTACAAATTTGGTTTGTCAACCTTCTTAAGCATCCTCGCACTAGGCTTCCAGTGCAAAATCATCCTGGAGGAGTACACACACTTTCTAGCACATCCAGGGTAAAAAAAGAAGGAAATGTGGAATCCTGGTGACTTAATGTTGCAGTGCAAGACTGGCTGGAGTAAGAGCTGTAAGGTAGCTGGGACATCCTTGAAACTTGAGCAAGATCCAAGTACAGGTTGGAGCTCTCAGCAGGTGTTGCCATAGTCAGAATATTTTTGGCTGTTCTAGTCTGTATCCTCAGACTTGGGGACAAGCAAGTGCACGATGTTGTACCCTCCTTGCTGATTTTGCCCTGCTGGCTGTGCAGTTGCATTTGGGCATTTTCTTCAAAAAGGAAAAGAAAAAACTCTGAGCACAGCCTGCTGCTAGCAGAAACCCATCGTTTAATGGTGTTGGAGTGATGCTACCTCTTATTTTCTAGATCACAAAGTCAGTGACTACATTTTGCATGCAAGTAGCAGAAAACACTGAAGTTCAGTTTCTAGGGAAAGAGCAAACCTATTAGATGATCAAGGGAAGCTATAAGAGAGAATTGATCAAGATAAATCTAAAAGAACAACGTAAATCCATTAAGCTGGTAATTGCCTGTGTGTGACAAATTTCTTTTATTACCACACTTTTCTTGTAGTAATACTGACACAACACTATAAAATTTAGGGCTCTTTTTCATGTCTGCTCCATCCCAGTGGGATCTCTGGCTGAAATTCTGCTCCAAGGAATACAGCACATAATCAGTCCCTTTGAAACTGCTTCAGTAATGCTGAATCCATAGAAGTGTGGATGCCAATTAGGCTAATGAAACTGCAATGGGCCCAATGGTTCTTGCCATCCTCTAACAGTGCTGTAAAACTACTGTCACACTCAGCAACTAATTTTTTGTAGCATATGACCACATAGAATACTGAAATCTGCTTATGCCACATGTTCCCCAAGCCTAATCCTTCTAAGAACACAAAGAAAGCAACAGGTAACTAGAAAATCTGGGATATTTTTTTTTTGTTTGTTTTGGTTTGGGTTTTTTTGTTACCTTTTCTACTTGTCCTGTATTCACATCTCCAGAAGGAGATGCAAATAATATTTATTTTGCCCTCCTTTCTTCCTCCCTGTTTCCCTCCAAAGCATTGCTCCATCCTGAGGAGCAGGCACTGGGAAACATAGTGGGCTAGCAAAATTTCAAGGTGCCCCTGACAAAACCCAAGACAGATCCTTAACATCCTTTCTCCATTTGCTCTTTTGGGCTGATAGGATCTCTGACAGAAATACTCACTGATGCCTTGGCAGGGCATTTCTTTGGGCTCAGGCAGGACCCGTCAAGTGTGGTTTCTTTTTTCCTCTCTTGTGTTCTTTCACACAGCCCTGTTGTGGCAAGGATAACTCATCTTCTCAGGCAACAAATGGGAGTTCAAAGTCTAGATGTTAAAATGTCTACATCCCCTCCCCTTTGTCTTTACAGCCTGGCAATGTTATAATCATCTCTGCAATGCAGGCCAAGGTACCAATCAGCCTGTGTGAACAACAGCATTAAGGCCACTATAAAACCCCACTAGGACACTTTTAGGGTGTGGTGGGAGTAGTTAGTACAGATCATGAGAAGACACAGAGAGGAATATGGATTCATGAGGAGTAATAGCTTTCACACATGATTAGACAGGATAAAAGAAATGGCAATACAAGGCTGACCAGTCTACATTATGGGGCTATTACTTCTTGCATCAGTGGAAAGTTCTGCCTTACTATTTTTTTTCCCACATTAAATCCTATCACCACCATTATGGATCCAGCACTGCTGTGTTTCAATAGTGCTTCATCCCTTCTTCATGCACACTTATTACAAATACTACAGGCTCAGGGAAACAGCTTTGAAATCACTTGCTGCAAGTGCATCTGCCTTCAATTCTGTTATCACTTTGTGGACCATGACAATTGCAGTCCATGGTATTTTTATAAAAGCAGTGAAAACCTACAAATGTTAACCTTTTGCTTAGTTTATTGTTTATAAAACAATAATATGTTTTCATGTTCTCCCATCTTCTCATCTGCCTTTGAAGAGACCTCTCACTAATGACACCAATTCCATGAAGGGTGAGGGATGCTTGGAATTACTGTTGTATTAGTGGCTGGCAGCTTTTCTGGGGATAGACTTCATTCTTTGGTGTGCCTGCAAATCCATGCTAATGTTCCTCCGTAACTTCCAGGGCACTGGTTGAGGAGCAAAGGCAGCCTCTGGTGGGGAGGTCCTTCAGCTCACAAGAGTCACCTATTCTGCCCCTGCTCCACAGGCTGCAGAGGAATTCATCAAGCAGTTCCTAAACCATTTGCAGCCTGTCCTTTGAAAATGTAGCTTCACAGGTCCCAAAATGAGGCAGAAATACTAATCTTCTCATGTTTCCTGACACTTACTGAGCCTTTTCTTGAGTCAGAGCCCAGAGATGTGCTATGATACTTGATCTTTAGGCTGCTCAGATGTAACACAAAGTAGCAAAGTAATTTCCAAAATTAAATCTCCTGACATTGACATAGTGCTGACAATGTTCAAATAACTAATATTTATTTTTCTCCAAGGAAAATTATGAAAATATTAAACATAGTTGTTATTTGGTAAGCTGGTACAATATTATTATTTATTTCTTACATACAGCTCTATTTTAACTTAACTAGATTTGCCTTCTTCTCAGTACTCTAGAAAAAGGGGAGCAAGGACATGACAGCCCAGCATAACAAGGCATAACCTTCTCTCTGCATTTCACTGTTGGCTTCCGCATCCCATCCTCAGCCCTGTGCTGCCATTTGATATTATAAGAGCAGTTGCTGCAACCTAGGCTTGGGGAGCAGGCTGTGCAGCAGCAGCCCAGAGGTTTTACATTGCTCCTGTGTTTGTGAGGATCATCTGGTTCCTGTCTGTGGTCTGAGCTGCTCCTTAGAAGCACTCAGATACACACACACACACACACACACACACTGGGATAAAATGCCCTCAGGAAAAACTCCTACTCACACCTGGATTTGCAAAGATACACATAATGAATGCAGAAATATACACATGGGCACATGGAAAACTCAACATTTCTGTGGAAGTTGCTCATACCTTATGCTCCTTGCAGCTTGAGTATCGATTTCATCATTTCTTCCTTGCTACTCACTGCTGCCACCACGTGTTAACCACAATTTTGGGGTTTTTTTGGAAATAACAATGCCCCTTGAAATAAAAACATGTTCTGCCGTGGGTGAGAAGAACCTGGAATTTGGAAGTACTCCAGAGAAAAAATGTGAAATGGGCAAGCCATTCCTTGCCAGACTGGACATTGCTGGAAACAGTATAACAAGCTTCAGAAGAGCTCCTTATAAGCAAAACTTCAAATTATCAATTGAGAATTCCTGTTATTTATTACCAGTACACCAGTATTCCCAGTGTGTTAGGAAGTGCCAGGCTACTCCTAGTAAGTTCAAGTTCGTGCACTGACAGTTTTCTCTCTCTCTCCCCCATGCCTTCCTCTTGCACTTGGATTTCTTGTCATGCTTTCTGAGAATGAAAAATGCATTAATAACCAACAAAAGTGGAATGCAGTCAGGAAAGCACTTTCTTCCTAATTCCCATGATTTGGTAGTATGCCTGTTCCCTTGGGAATGAAAGGCAGTCTTCCAGTTTGGGCTTAATAAGAGTAATTGTGGATATTTTTACTGTTGGTACAAATGACTAATTAAATCATTATTAAATTTGCTGTGTCTCCATCATACAAAATATGGGTAAGTTTTACCCATGTCATTACACACTACTAAAAATGAGTGTGGCTCACAGCTAACAGGACAGCAAATTTCTACAAGCTGAACTTCCCCCAGTGCGGCTTGGTTCTCAGCTAAATTTATTTCATCCTAAATAACTCCTGAAGGATGACATTTAAGTGACAATCTGTTGATAGCTAATCACAAGCCTACAGGGTATCATTTCAATGGAATGTCTCGATGTGCAAGTTAAGGTTAGTGTAACAATTTGCTGGTTTGTGGTTTTGTTGAGGGAAACTGAGCATATGCAAGGCTTAGCTGTTCTCTCTTCCCTCTGTCTGGCAAGGTCTGAAAGCACATGCCTAGGTATAGATGCAGTGCTACCAGTTCTCACATTGGTTAATGTGTTACCAGCACATAGTCCTGGGCCAAGGAATGATTTCAGAGTATCAGTTTGCATTTGAAACATAAATTCAAGCTTGGTTTCCAGCTTTTGTGACTGAGAGATAATGGATGGTTAATCCTAGCTCCAAGCCAAGAATGATACTGAAGATGAGTATGAAGATGTGACACTGTAGCATTTCATGTTTCTGAGAGACTGTTTATGCATATCAAAGTTGTTTTAAGTCAGTGGTCTTCTTCACAGGTGTCCTTGCAGCTGTTTGTCACACCTTGCTGGATCAGCATGCTGGGGAAGGATAGGGAAATAATGCTCAGTCAGGATTGAGAAGGAGATGAAATTGGAGAAGACACTGATACAAAGGTCTGATGTTACTGTGGACAAATTGTAGCCTTTTTAGGATTTACTTCTGCTTTTGCACATCCTTTAATTCCAGTGCCCAGAAGGAGGTTTTTGAGGAGACAGAACCAGGGTTTTCAGGGTGGTGCATGGCAAGGGCATGTGAGAAAACAGGTGTAGCTTGAAAGAGGAGATGCTCTGGCTGGATACAAAGAAACATCATGAGGCAAATTGAGCATGGGAAGGCATTGCCCAGAGAGGGTGTACAGTCTGTGTCCTTGGAGATTTTAAAGAACCCAACTGTTTAGAGCCC